ACGTGTAAGTTTCGTGATGTATGTCATATACTTGTAAGTGTCATGTTGTATGTCATATACTTGTAAGGGTCATGATGTTTGTCATATACTTGTAAGTGTCATGATGTATGTCATATACTTGTAAGTGTCATGACGTATGTCATATACTTGTAAGTGTCATGGTGTATGTCATATATTTGTAAGTGTCATGATTTATGTTATCTACGTGTAAGTTTCGTGATGTAGGTCATATACTTGTAAGTGTCATGATGGATGTTATATACGTGTAAGTTTCGTGATGTATGTTATATACTTGTAAGTGTCATGACGTATGTCATATCCTTGTAAGTGTCAAGATGTATGTCATATTCTTGTAAGTGTCATGGTGTATGTGATATACTTGTAAGGGTCATGATGTTTGTCATATTCTTGTAAGTGTCATGGTGTATGTCATATACTTCTAAGGGTCATGATGTTTGTCATATTCTTGTAAGTGTCATGGTGTATGTCATATATTTGTAAGTGTCATGATTTATGTTATCTACGTGTAAGTTTCGTGATGTATGTCATATACTTGTAAGTGTCATGGTGTATGTCATATACTTGTAAGGGTCATGATGTTTGTCATATACTTGTAAGTGTCATGACGTATGTCATATACTTGTAAGTGTCAAGATGTATGTCATATACTTGTAAGTGTCATGATGTTTGTCATATACTTGTAAGTGTCATGATGTATGTCATATACTTGTAAGTGTCATGATGTATGTCATATACTTGTAAGTGTCATGATGTTTGTCATATACTTGTAAGTGTCATGATTTATGTTATATACGTGTAAGTTTCGTGATGTATGTCATATACTTGTAAGTGTCATGATGTATGTTATATACGTGTAAGTTTCGTGATGTATGTCACATTCATGTTAGTCCCATTTTTATCACACACATTTTAGTATCGTTTGTGTCACAAAGGTGTTAGTGTTATGTATACCACCTATGTGTTAGTATTATAAAATATCTTGTTTATGTCTTGATTAAATGAGATTACTTGAGGAGGTTGCTATTGCAATTTTCTTTACATCCCTGTCACGAAACGATTGCAGGAGCTTGTCCCTCAGTCATAACGTACAGTATTATGTACAAGGTTTTAAAGTATCATTTATTTTCATACTATGAGAACTATTGCCATGAGGCGCTGACATAAATTTTACTATTGAAATTGGGTAATGAATTATGCATACTATTTCGCTAAAAGAATCAGGAAAACTCGAATTGTTTCTTATAATAAACGTTCACCCATAACAACATATTTTACATATAACGGTGCTGCAATGACGGACACAGAAAGGTTTTCTGGGCTCCATGAATACACCTCATATACCCTCCAATTGATTTATCTTTCCAATATTCATTCACTACCATAAAACACATACCCATACAGAAATAAGTTATCAGACTGAACCCTCTGTAATTAGTAGGTTACCCAGTAGAACCGCCTGGCGACACGTTACACGAACAAAACAACAAATCATACTATGGCCGAGTACCATTATTCCTTAATTCTCAAATGCATGTGATGTTTACAAATTGACATTTACCTTAGGGGATGTCACGTCATTTATAGATGGGACCTACCATACTGTGGTTTTAGGGTGAGAACAATGACCTCATCACTAGCACCCTGTAGTAGTCCCTGACTAATTAACCTGGATAGAATCGACAGGACACTGCAGGTGGACACCGTCATCGATATACTACTACCTTAACCTAAAAAATAATCAGCTAGATACCACATTAAAAAGTCAACTAAATACCACATAAAAGGTCAACTAAATACTATATAAAAAAGTCAACTAAATACTACATAAAAGTCAACTAAATACCACATAAAAGTCAATTAAATACCACATAAAAAGTCAACTAAATACTATATAAAAAAGTCAACTAATACCATATCTTCTAACCAAACTCCTGATCATCGAGATCCTCGGTCAGCGCTATATGTAAACAATTACAGGTTTTGCATGGAGTAATGCCATCAACTATTAAACTATATAGAAAGATTTATAAAACAATATTCTTGTCATTGGTTCCTCCATACAAACATTTACGCTTAAAAACGTGTTGTGATCCTCACAAGTATTTTCATAATTTTATAACGGACCTCATTTGTATCGATACTATCCACCGGTTTATGAAGTCACGTGTCGCGAGCAGACATTCTAATTAAAAAACAAAGCTCATACTGACTTTATTATGCTCCTGTTAGGTAGTACAAAGTAGTTTATAGATGATAAACGATTTTCAAAGTTTATCAGGTTTTCACGTATCTTTTCCTGTGCGTGTAGCGAAGTGATCATAATGCGAACAGTTTTGTAGCCTCGGTCTGTCAATACAACTTTAGTAAAAAAAAGTAAAAAATGCCATCCTCTAAGATGGGATATATTTGTAACATACATGACACTAACACGTATGTAACATACATGACACTAACACGCATGTAACATACATAACACTACACGTTTGTAACATACATGATACTGTATATACCATCACTGCGGATGGCATTTTTACCGAAAGTCGATCTAAAAGTCTAAAATATGGAAAATGACGCTGAACACCTTAGTTCAAGTCCAAATATAGCTGTGAACAATTCTCAGGTCCCTGTGGTGTTGTTTAGGTGATATATAGAAGATATAGGACTCTTATGTTCAGGTCTATGGTTGTTCTTTTTTTAACTAATCGCTTTTATACATCATACAAGTAAATTGTAATATTTTTTCTTTCATTAAAGGATTTCAAAAATGGCTGCCGGTTCTGATCATTCATACAAGACAGTTCTTGCCCACATCGGGAACAACCTAGAAACAGGTAAATGATAGCATATACCATTATTCTCTTCAACATATACAGGTAATTGATACGCTTAATGTTATGTTAAATTTTATGTTTATGGTGTCAGAGTAATGAACGCACAATGAGCAATCGGGCGGTCGGGTGGTGCAGTGGATAGCACACTTGCCTTTCACCAAGGTGGCCGGGGTTCAATTCCAGGATTGGACGTGAAAAGGTATGGGGTCAGCTGCCCGACCACGAGGGTTTTACTCCGGGTACTCTGGTTTTCCTCCTACACTAAGACCCCAGCGCGCTAACATACGGGACAACAAGAGTGATTAATATGGGTTGAAATAACTTGTTTCATAATTGTTGTAAAATAAATAAAGTTTAAATTTATATTTTAACAGATTTTCGTTATTCAATTGAAATAAAACAACCAGACTGTCAATAGTATTATAACATCAACATGCATTTCGTTCGAAACATTGCTATAACTAAGTATTTAATCAATATTATTCATATTCAATACTAAGGGGATGTTGCAAGCGCGAAGTTCATCATTGGCGAGAACAACATGTTATTTCCCGCCCGTGAACTGGAGACAGTGAACACAGGCCTAGAACTTATGGCATTGTTGGAGAAAAAGGGATTTGTATCAGAAACCAATGTTACAGATCTCTACACCCTGTTGAAGCAAATTAAATGCTCATCGCTTTGTGCCGAACTAAATCCTTTGAAGAATAAGCTTACCCTTTGCAAGGACGGTAAGTACTTATTGTTGCTGCTTTCGTATAAAACTAATACAGGTCCCTTCTGATCAATGCCTTTTATGACTTCTGAATTAATGATTCACCTGCCTTCGTGATAACAGGCGGGTGTTTAAGTGATCCCTTATTGTATATATTTAACTTTTATCTAGTGTCTTCTTAAACCGCCCAAAGATATAGTACACTATTATTACATCGCCCTTAAAAGCAGTCCAAATCTATACTTAGCTTTCATCCCATTGTCTCGTTTAACCATCCAAATATACTTTTAACTACGTTTACGAAGTCCTGTTAAACTCTCTTGATATATTTTGTCCTATTAAACTCTCATAATAAATATTGAACTATATATATAATATATATTATGATTTTGTTCTGTTAAACCGTTACCATATGTATATATGACTATCATTATATTATCATATTATCATATTTGGCGGCACGGTAGTCTAGTGTTAGGACGCCGGGCCCGTGACCGAAGGGTTGCGGGTTTGAGTCACGGCACTGTGTTGCATCTTTGAGCAAGATACTTTACTCCGCTTGTTCCAGTCTACTCAGCTGTAAATGAGTACGTGGTTGGACAGTGCTAGCATTGGTGAATGCTAGCTGTGAGCGCCGAAATGGCAGCACCGGCTGTATGCTCCCCAGGGAGTTGAGAAAGATATTGGATGGTTGCAAAGGCCCTATCACCATGGGTAATAATTTGTGAACCGCTTTGAGACTACCTTCGAACTAGGTTGTGATGAAGCGGTATATAAGAACCTTGAATTATCAATATTATTATATTGTCCTGTTGGACCTTCCTGTTATGTAATGTCTTGTTAAAACATTCATATCCCTACATTGTAATTTGTCATTCCTTATATGACTTGTTTTATATTTATCCAAAAACAGAGTAATTATCGTTCATGTGTCGTTTGACATTAAATCTTATTTATTTTAACAGCGAAATGGAAGGTTGGTTACACAAGGGTTCCACATTTCCTGAAAGTTAAAGGTTGTACCCTACTGGCCGAAATCCTAACTACACAAAATAGAGTTGTTCTTATTGGTAAGTAATATTAAAAATGTGATGAAATTATCATACAGTTACTCGGTAAACCACTTTTTGTTTTACATCGATTTAAAAAAATAATTTTATATCATTACATCAAGATACGAAAACTTTATCATATTGCATGTAGATTTGTTATTTGAAGACGTTCATGTAAGTATTGTATGATACACACAGAATGTAAATGAATTTAACTTAATGCATCTTAATTTATGAATCCAGTATATCTCCTTGGACTAAATGTTCTCCATGCCTGACACTGCCAAAGGTCCCGGGAGCATCACAATATATGACATAGACGCGATTCGTATAATTTACACTGTGACACAATTTCTCGTTTTCTAAACAATGTCATATAGATAACTCGGTCTTCATATATACTCTTCTTCGACATGTTTTAATATAAATTTAGCTTTTGTTAAGTAACATTTTGAACTTCACCATCGGTACAGAGATTTTGTTGAATTAAACATAAAAATACCGTGCAGTTAATTCAACGTTTCTTGTGGTTAATTATAGTGATTATTAGTAGTGTACACGATCATTCAAACATTATTTTTATCCTCTATATTTGAAAATTAATTTACGTCGTCAAATAACAATGGATGGGTAGAACATAATAAATGGAACCGTAAATAACAGTGGTCATCGTAAATTGCGGAAAAAAATGACAGTCTGTTGTAAATATACAATACATTTTAGCATTAAAACAGATATAAAATATGTAGATTCGTTTAAGTATTGATTGATCATTCAAAACGCATATAATTGTATACAATGGCGTGTATCTTTGAGGTGTAAAAGATTAATATATATATATGAATGAATAAGAGGCCGGAAGGTTAAATCATATCTCCCTACAATTGCCATTTATTGGCAGATACATACTGGGACTATTTTTAAATGCCTTGCATACGGACGGATAAGGGGAAAAATTCTACAAGGAAACATTGTTTATTTACTGTCTAAAGTACGCGTTTAACTTTAGATATAGAAATCCGTATCGATGAAAAATGAAATAAAAAAAAAAGATATGGGCTAAAAAGACAAATGGTAAATTCCATAAACGTAATGAAAATCAATTTCATACTTGTAAACTATCTTTGTTATATTCGATTATTAAACAAAAGAAATATATCTCTAATGCTTGTAAAAATGCAATTTTAAATTCGATCAACTATAGGAAATACTCCTTGGTTCCATGTGTTATAGAGGACCGTAACATTTAGGAAATATTACATAAAACAGCTGAGAAGTGTGTATCAGAAATGGCTGATGGTTAACGTTTTACTGACAGGTCCACCAGCAACAGGGAAAACTCAGTTGGCATGCGATTATGCACAAGATTTCTTCAAAACAAATGGAGACTCGGTGATACGGAAATTAGATTGCGAAGGTAAAACTGAACTCATCAAATCCATGATCGACCTCTTAGATCGCCTTCATATGAAACCCGAAGGTACGAACGAAGGAAAAACGCGTTACATGGAGGAAATGGCGCAGATGGTATTGGACAATTTGGGAGGTTCAAAGCAAGCTGGCAACACGCATTTGCTTATTTTTGACGACGTCGGGGAGTCCTGCAACGAAATCGTTAGCAAGATATTGAAAAACTTCCAAGAAAATTCAAGTAATGTCAAGATCATCGCCACCATGAATGGGGATATTGACGTTGACTGTGAAACAATGAAGGTTACTGGTTTACAGGACGATGAAGTAGTTGACTTCTTCAAATGTAACTCTGATTACGACGGAACAGAGTCTGCTGTTTTGAAAGCCACGGACAAAGAAATCAAAGATTTAGCTCAACTCTTTGGAAACTCACCATTTGGTTTGATGCTTTCAAAACACTACATACAAAAATCAGGAATGGACATTTCCGACTTTACGGATATGCTAAAGAAGGATGAAAGTTTTATAGGTAACACAGAGGAACACGCCATAAACATTGCACAGTATTACAACAAGCGTTTACTGGCAGCACACAGGATAATTCTGGAGAGAGTAGAATCAAAACTCAACGATGACGGCAAGATACTGCTATCTCTCATTCCATTTCTACATCACGAAGCCATCACAGTGAAAGTCCTGTCCATACTCCTTCAGAGTGGATCTATAAAGGGCCACGAGTACGAAGACAGCAATGTCATAGAAAGACTACGAAAGTACGTACTTTGCGATTTGAAGGGACTTGGAAATGACAGGGTTATATCGATACACGCTCTGACACAATTAGCCCTTCTGAACCGCTTGTCTACAGATGAAAGAGATGAGCGCATTGCCTTATTACTGCAGTTCTTTGCCACGAACATGACAATGGACTACAGATTACAAATATCCATGGATACAAATATTCTTTTCATAGACCACGCTATGAAGGTATTGAGGATGGCGGGAGAAATCAGAAATCCCTCCAACAAGATTCGACTGCTACAGTGCTACGTAAGTACTCTAATTGGTGTGACCTTTCGCATAGGGGGAGTAGACAACTTCTTAGTCAACGACTATCTGACGCAAGCTAGGGCGCTATGCTTTGAGATGATTGGAGAAGATATGTCCAATTTCGAATTTGTGCATTCGGGAGTAAAGGATAGCGTGAAGCATGGGAAATGTGTTGAGCTTGTTGAAAAATTGACATCTCTTAAAGCGAATATTCCAGAGGATTTCATTCAGGATTTAATGACCTCAATGAAGCGCCCAGACAAAGACATGGAACACCTGAAAACGCGTGCCAAAGGTTTATCAAGGTTTTCTTTCAAACACCAGCTCGAACCAGACCTGTATACCGAGCTTGTAAAACAGGAGATAGCAGTGCCATTTGACATTGTCCGTGAGTTCTTTTTTGTTGAACTTTTGATTGTGATACTTTACAACAATGGACGCAATCACTATCTACAGAAAAGTAGACGTCGACAGTGTATGGAATTGTCAATGATGTTAGGAGAACACCTGAAAGAAAGATGCCACCGTTTTCTTCCAGTGCAATTTCTGATAACCCAGAGGAATGGTATGTTGTTTAAATTACTGAAGCTGGACCTACCAAACGCATCAAAGGAACAAGAGGTGATGGCCCTGGATACTGCCGTTAAGAGGTACACAGCAATGCTTCAGGACAAGAAAGATTACTTCGAGTTCGGAGTGTTGAAACTAAGTAAAGTATGCAAGAACTTTCATCACATAGCGATGTGTCGGAAGTTCTTGCTTAAATGCTACTGTCGCCTGTTCGAGTTACACACCAGTGCTGAAGACAAAAGGTTGGTGTATGATTCTGGCTTGGAATGTGTCAAGAAACTAACAGACCTGATGACAGAAATGACGGCTTGGACCGCAATACCGGGACTTCATGTTCAGATAGCAAAATTCTATTTGCTGGTTCCATCTGAAATCGAGAACTTTGTAGATAAAGCCATTCAACATTTCCTATCAGCGGATTCGATAGAGGAAGGCAAGGGAGTGGGTTTGTCGCATTTCCGTCTCCAGGCATTATTTGGTTTGATCGACTGCTATTTTCAGAAACGTGACAAGAACAGTCTGAAAAGCGCTACCGAGAAATGCAGATTTCTTGTCAACACTCTCCATTCATCAAACTCGCAGGAAAGCCTGAAGAAAGCAAAGAGAAAGCTGGATGAAGTCATTGAAATTGGCAGGGACGAGGGAATGGAACTTTGAACATTATATACAGACACAAACTACACATTCCAGTGTTTTGCTCTCTGTGAAAGACTGTTCGCTACACTGACATTCCAATTCGAAACCGATGTTGTGCCAAAGTTCTACAATAAAGACCGTTTACTGTTTTGTAAACATGTGATCTAGATGTGTTGATGAACGATATACATTTTTTGGTTTAAATTAGGACAACATATCCGATATAAGATTTGATTCGTTAATTGTGGATATCAGCGTATTCTTAGTGTTTGATCAACTAAAATTCATTTTAGCCACAGACGACGAAATCAAAAAGGTGCTGTAAGACTTGAAACGAGAACAGCCACATACTCAAAATCATTTTGATGACAATCAAAATACTTTGCACGACACATGGGATTCGGGTGCACTGCGAAATTTAACCCCCGCGAATATATATACTGAATACGAAACCGCGAAATATTGACCCCGCTATACAGTATAATCGACGGTAAATATCACGAACATTTACAGTCACGGACATGACATCTTATAACAAGATTTGCAGGGTATTTCTAATAATGTAGTTACGTCATTTTGTATTCCACAAGACTAGTCTCCTGCGGCGAGTGCATATATTTTTGAATTGTGAGAGCTGTCGGGGAATCAGACTACTAATTAATATATAAGGTGTGAGACAAACGATGTAATTGGGGATGCAACGTTTGGTTTTTGCCTGGGAACTGGTACACGTGCTATTAATGCCTTAATGACGAATTCTTTGGATTTTGTATTTTGTAACTTTGTACACTAAAAGAAGGTGTCGATCGTTGTACATTACAGTTTTGAGGAAATCACAGGAGCTGCGTTATCAGGCGCTAACTTCTAGTCATGCGCCAAGTGGCTAATATCTCCCTATGTGTTTATGCCTGTGTGTGTGTTGGATATGTAATGTGTTCTGTTTGAAGTGAGACCGTGCTTCCAATGATATAATTTATAGTGCCACCTCACTTGAATGCTACAACACAGATATCGCAACATCCACCCCAGACCATTTTATACTCCACCTGGGTTGTTGGAAATGTGTGGGTAGGAGAAAAACACTTTCTATGAATATTCAATGCTTACGACGACTTCGGTGATCGAACCCTGGCCACATGCGTGGAAGGCCGGAGTGTTGACCACTCGACCAATCCGGCCAAAGGTAAATGTTTTAAAATCTACTCCTTCAGAATGACTTATCTAGAGAATCTTTGTGGAAGGAAACAACTCAGTGTAATAATTGATTGCCTATTTTCTTCAAAGAAAAGAGATTTTGTCTGAAGCGATTCAGCAAGGGACCTCAACGTTGTATAAACAAAGTGTGTGCCACCTATTAGTACGGGAATCCTTAGGAAATGTTTTATAGAGTTGGAGGAAAGGTCCAGGATATTGTGCTGAAGATCTACATACAATCTCTCAGTGTTGTGGTAAATATCGGTTTGAATGAATCAATTGTATTTTTAGATATTATCAAAGTGTCATCTGCTTGCTTGTAGAGTGTATCTACGGTTGCAAACGACGTTTTATAAATGTACTTAATATTATGATATGTCTAAGTGATGCTTGGGTGAAGTTGCTGCTTTTCGCCATTAGGGAGGGTCTCTCTGACTCATTTATATTATAAAAACAAGCCGGATATGTGATACAGCAGAGAACATGTGTTTGTGAGACTGGTATCATACACGAAGCCTTGCTGCTTGACTGAATTGAACAGATTAACATCTTTTTTTTGTTTTAGTTTTTATTTATTTATTTTTTAGCATTTACCTCTGTATCGATTATGATTTATTTAGAGTCAACATCGTAGATAGTCCCGCCTGTGTCTGTGGATCTCCATGTGAAAACGCCTATCATTTCTTTTTTGAATGTCCAGTTTATACACACCAGAGGTTTGAATTGTTTCAAAATCTAAATTTTGTTAATGAAATCTCCTTAGATATATTGTTATCTGGTATTCCGGATCTGTCTTCTAAACAAAATAATGATATTTTTCGTAACGTGCAAAAATTCATAAAGACCAGCGGTAGGTTTTAATTCGTAAGGCGTTTTATATTTCTATACTCAATTTGTGAGACTGTTCAATGTTGTTCTTTCTCTTTTCCTTTTTCTTTCTCTTTTTCTTTTTGTTGTTGTAATGCTACTATTATACATATTATTTGATACCCAGTTGTGCCATGTTGGTAAATCTGATGTATATATTTGAGGAAAGGGCGTAAATAATGTTGTAATAACTTGTGCCCAATCCTGTTGTCACTATTTTGGCAATAAAATATGTTTAAACTAAATCGATTATGTCAATATCCATAAAAGTGTAATGACCACCATTAAGTATGTTTTATTGGATGTAGTTCATCACATATTTTTTTATAAATGAATGTCGTTTTCCCTACCGCTCCCGATTTTCCTTTTGCTTCATGCAAGTTTTTGGTACGGCAATGTCTTGGACAAATTTGTGTTTCCGGTTTCTATGTTCAAGGTCAATGTCACAGTTTCCATCACGCCTAGGACAATGGAATTATAAGTATGTGATATACTTGTAACTATGTTACTGACCAAGCGACTTGTAGAGATTTTTTTAACTTGTTATATCATGTTATACTTTGTTATCAATACCATTTTATTTATTACAAGAAAAGTTTAGAGTCACCGCGTGTTTATTTTCCAATTCAACACATGAAGAGTTGAATGCCAACTAAATTGTGCCAAAAGAAACATTTTGATCTACATCTAATTAAATATAAGTCCCAGTAAATATGTGATTGATTTGCCATACCTCGTGTTTTATTCAGGGTAGGTTTGTTATACAAAGGCAACACTTGTATACAAATTCTAAAATAAGCACACACATCCATGCTATATTTGATAGGTTATTTTATCACATAATGGACTGTGTTATCCAGTGAATACCGCTGTCATATCCTTTTGCGTATTAACCCATGTAATATGAACTATCAGCCCTGTGATTGGTTGTAAGTTTCCATTGTTTCAATTGTGACGTCACGCCTAGGACAAGAACATGACGTCACAGGCTTACGCACTGGAGTCAAAATGGCGGTTTTTTACATTTCAAGATTGCATGAAAATTGTCTTTTTACACGAATAAATGACACAAATCTTGCATATGTGATAAAAAGGATCTTACATTCGTTTTCATTTCATATGAAATTTATGAAACTCGTCACAAATTTTTCAATTTAGCTCGACAGAGGCTCGCTAACTTAAAAAATCTAAAGACTCGTTTCATAAATCTCATATGAAACGGAAATTCATGCAAGATCCAATATATAAAAGTTGTGAATAATAATATGAGACTTGAATGTATATGTGATATATACTTAATAAAGACAATCTGATTGATAAATACCCTATATAGAAATGCACCGTTATATGTTTTATATCGTTTTTAAATAAAATGGGAGTTTTTAGTCATCAACGTAAGATTCAGTGTTGATAAACATTTTGTTGCAACTCTTGAAAATTGTATATTTAACCATCAGCATTCATACTAAATGCTAATATTTGCATGTATGTTCATAAAGTATTGTTACTACAGTATTTGTATTAGAATGATGATATTTGCCATGGATGTTTGTCTAATAAATATATAGATACACTAATCAATATAGTGTAGTGAAAACAGAAAAAAACCTTTGGATTTTACTTTTTTTGCCAAAATTCCCGGGTAGATTTTACTGGCACTGGCATTGGACTCATTATTGTACAAACTTCAACATTTTTAGTGCATTGCTGATATTGATATCAATGTAGACAAAGGAGAGCAAAATATGTTTCAACTTTAATATTACAACCCTTTTTGGACTGTTTCCTCTGAAATCTAATGCAAATTAACTATGAAAATAAGTCTTCTTTTTTTTTACCAGGATGGTGATATTTGGCATGGTGGTTCTTACTGATCAAACATAAGAAAAAATCTTATTTTTCACCTATTTTGGACCATTTTCAAATATTCTACGAATAAGTCAGTTATACTGTTCTCTAACAACTATTGTTGAATTCACGCGATCTCATTTTATTTACATTTTCTTTTTTATAATGTTCATGACCTTGGTTTTGATTGATTGAATAAAAAACAACAAGTGGTTTTTGTAATGTTCGTGTTTTTATTATTATTGACTTATCAATTAGTTAGAAAAAACAGGTCCAAATAGTTTCCTGGCAAAATTGAGTCAAAGGATCCTTTAAGTATAGACATACAATTACAGTTGATTCTGAAACCTGTTCAATGTACCAGGATTTTCTAGATAAATGTGTCCTTCACACCCATCAACTATGTAAATAAGGGTTTCTACCTGAAAGCCATGAATATACGTTGAAAACAATGTATGGTTGTCATCATGACTTGATTTCGGCGACAATATGAGGGGTGCCACATGTAGCATAGGAAAGATTAACATCCAGAATCCTGGTGACTTCTATGTGACATTGGGTTCATAATTTATCTCCTTTGTGGATGTGTTTGTGTTTTAAGTTTTCTCTACCGTTGTCATTTCCAATAACACTTTGTTTGTTTTTTATTTCGTATTTTATATCATGCATAATAAGTGTTGTTTTTTTTAAAATATGCATTCATTTGTGGTTTTCTAAAATAATTTTCCAGCAATTGTATATTCTAAAACTGAAAATTCATAAAACGGCAAAAAATGACAATGGAATGAATGTCCGATCTATATGTTCATCATAAAAGCTACATATGTGAGATATGCCGCTCTGTATTTCAAATATAATCATAGTCTCCAAATATTTAACAGGAAACGTTATCACGGCGACAATCTTAGTATGTGTGTATCCATGTAAGAGTAGATTTTGTACTGCGATTGATATGGCGGTTGAAAGTATAGAACTGTGATTTTGTTTGTACGATTTAGGAATCGAATAGAACGCAGAATATATCAGCTTCAGACATCACGATCTACTTCTCGTCTCGGCGGTTGGGAACATGAATAAGTAAGATTACCAACATCGTGTACCATACTGAGCTGTGTATGTAGGCGGACTAAATAATAGTAATTGCAGACAAAATGATTTTTTTAAAGCTTTGTTCGCTGGTAAGACTACATTAACTTATCATGGAGGCATTCTGTAATAGAAGCTCAAGTTATGTAAACTTGTGTTGAACATTCGTTATTGCATAATGTAGCTATCTGAATCTGTATAAAAATAATAACATACCGACTTCCAGGAATTTTCTATTAAAGTGTTAATATTGATTGGTAGTTTTATTTACTTTGTGTTTGTTATCAGTGTACCTGCGTCATTTATCTGTGTGCTGTGTTGGAACCTGAACTCTAACAACAGACACGTGAACATAGATATCAAATTACACGTAAGCATGTGATTCTTGTGAAAGGGGAAGTGACAGTCAACCCCCCGCTGATCTAATCATTTTTCAGTACATCCTTTATTCTCAGCAGTGACTAACTTGTTAATTATGTTTGACAAATGAGTGAAAACGTTCTATTGTTATACATTATTACAGAGTCGATAAATATCTACGTAAGATTTAGTCAACAGTACTGTTTGAGTAAATCCTGAGATATTTATCGACTCTGTAATAATGTATAACAGTACGGCAATATGATAGACGGCCCGACATGTATGCAATCAACCATATATTTTGTACTATTTCCCCATCTTGAAAGGCATTTACACAAATTACAACTTCAACGCTCGTTATTAAATCAATAGTATAAAACCTAAGCGAAAAGCTACTGAAAAGAATTGAACTTACTTATCAACTTGTTGTGTTTGAGTTAAGGGTCCCTGTCCCACTGCAATGTGGCTTTCCTTTTATCTACAGTAACCTCCCCTTAACTTCGTTTTAAATATAACTGTAGCAAAGTTGTTTCTAAGTGGCTCTTCTGGATAGAGAGATACA